TTCTCATGTCACCGTATTTGAATTTAAACGAATAAGTTGTGTTGCCTCCCGAAAACAATTGCCGACCTAAATTTACATTAAAAATGGTACTAAATATAATTTCAATATTAAGTAATGTTTAAAAATGTAATGTAAATACAAAAATGTGATGAAAATTCAGAATCTTAAACAAAAGAGTTGTCTTTAATTCCCTTATGTCAATAATGTGGTTAATTTAAAATAGTAATAATGGCAGATAATAAATATTCGATAAAATTTATTTTTAAAAAATTATTTTTACTGAAATGAAATTTTAAGAACTTAAATAATTTGTAACCATGTTTATATAACAGTTGAACCGAAAACTTTTCTATGTTGCCAAAGAGAGATAATTCCTCTCATTATGTTCCTGTACAGATACATAAATATGGGAAGATATATCGCCTTATCTGGGAAATAAAGAGGCTGACACAATAACCAAACAAGACAAAAATGTTTTAAAGCCTTCCTGGGATATTGAAAAAAAAAAAATTATTATAAAACATTTAAAATGAAAGCAAAAAAAAATTCTCGAACGCTGGGCAGAAATAGCAAAAATAGTGCATTAAAAGCAATCGTCTCGCCTAAATTTACTACAGAAATGATGGTTAAAGATATAAATGTAGTCAAAGCCTTAAAAACCACAATATGAGTATAATCAGTTGACAAAAAAAAATCAATACAAGTAAAGAAATTGCAATACATATTTTTTGGCAGTGCAAATAGCCAGACTAGACGGCGGTAGTGTATACAGCACTAAAAGTTGATACAACTGTGTATGGAAGTCGTTAAAATTATCTTTTTTAAATAACTTTTTCAAAAAACTCAAAAATAGAAAGATATCGAATTTAAAAATCTAACTCCGGGCCTGGACTTATGTATCAAAATTAAATTAAATAAGAAGTCTAGGTTTTTATCTATTTTACCTTTTTTGCCTTTTTTAGGTTTGTATGTATGAATAACGTTTTACCAGTTATTGTAATTCAATAGTGTGAGTGATTTCAATAACGTGTTTATATGACAACAATTTTATGTTGTTTATTTATGGCGAGAGTCTTCGAAGTGCGTGCATCAAAGGGCTGCATGGGTGTTGTACAGCGAGTCCACCTAGTCGAGAAGGTGTGTTTGTCTTGAGGTGAACGGACAACTTTAAACAGATTATTTAAATTAAACAGGACCGTATTGGATACATTTTGGAATAAATTAATGTAAGTTTCTTATTTTTGGGTTTTTTAATTCGTTAATTCTTTGAAATTTTTTTAATATCAATGACTTCTAAACACAGTTGAAAAAAGTATAAACTTAGGATTCACCCTATATAACAGAAGGTAATATGTCTAATGAAACGTGGAAGGCTTAGTCTGGAATTTGTGAAGAATGCTGACAGACTTGCTATATGCACAAATCAATATATGTATACCTACCACTGAAAAATTTGTCTCATAACCTCTGAAATGTCAACCTAACTTTGACCCATTGGCGCAATGACAGATGACAGCTTTTTCACACATTCCGATACTGCCTAATATTTCCGGATTTAACAGTAAAACAAAGAAAACGGATCACACAAGATCTGCAAAGTGGAAGTTGGTGTGGTATAGATGCAAGTCTCTTTTAAGGCTGTCTACCATGATCCCTACTTAGAGAATGACACTTGACGATGTCATAGAAAACTAGAATAAAATAATGGCATATTTGACAGAAGAAACAGATTCAACTATGATATTTTAAAAATATTCACATTCCATGTATACTTGGCAACGTTATAACTATTCCATTTTTGCTACGCAAGCGCGCGAATTATAAACAATAATAATTGTTTAATGGCAATTTGCTTCTAAATGACTAACTCAATGGATAAATATCTTTATTCATTCTTTCTAAGTAAAAAGTATATCATGCCCTGGGATAATTTGAATAGTCTGCCTTAAGTGGAATTAGTTCATAGGAAACCCATGTTCGAAAGGTACAGAAGAACTGTCTATGATTTGGAACCAGTTGAGAATAAATGCATGCCCCATCAGTAAAGGGAAGCTGAACAAAATAAGCGTGTATAATGGAGAAATTCTGTAGATTATGTAAACGAACTAGAAACAACCTGAGCCACTGATATCTTGAATCGCAAGACAGTCACTTTTTGGGACACAGGTTGACCCAAGTGTCTATAGGAAGGACACATTCAGTACAAACTACAATTATGACAAGAGTGGATACTATGAAATAACATAGGGTTAACTACAATAATCCAATAGGCTACAGGGTCGAAACAAATACAGCCGAGCACATACATGTTGCCAAGAAAATGGTTTTGAGCGCACTAATGCCGAATCAAAAAATTGAAAACTTTCTTTCAAAAATAACCCATGTCCAAAAATTCCAGAATTAAGTTAACTGAGACCATATCTGGACAGAGTACTGCGTTAAAGTACTCTTGGGTACTTCACAATGAGTAGCTTCACAAAGTACTTATAAGTTTATCTAAGTATGAGTACCTATTTATATGAATAATACTCAAAGCAAATGAGTACTTTTGCAATTTTAGAGAGTACTCGTGAATAAATCCAGTAGCGAGTACCTTAACTATTTTAAATAATTATATTTAGTGACTCAAGTTTAGAGAAAAGGAATTATAATAATTAATAAAAGTAAGTCGGTAAGTACCAAACAAAAAACGAGAGTTTCATTTATCTTGTATAAATTAGTTAGTATTTACCGTTAACGTGTACACGTTCAGCTTTTCATTTTAATGTTAAAGTTAAGTATTAAAGGTATTAGTATTTTAAAACATATGATGGTATGATTCCGTCATTTGACATATTATCTTTTCTGCCTTTATCATTGGCATCGATAAGTTATCCGGAATTTCCTTAAGGCTGTGAGGCGATGGTAGTGAGATTTTGAAAATTAATGGAACAGATATATTATGGTAAGATTTTAGAATTGTCAGTTGGGAAATTTGAAAAAGTTAGAAAATATTATATTGAAGTTAGATAGATATTATAGTCGAAAATTTTATATCACAGAGATGAAATAATAAGTGTGAATAAAATAGGAAGGAGATCTTAGCAGGAAGGAGAGTACATCAGAAGGACGAATAAGAGGAGAAAGTAGAGGAAAACAGCAAAAGGAGACAAAGTCAGAAGTTAGAGCAGAAAGCAGAAGAACAGGGAGCAAGAAGAAAGAAGCGAAGCAGAAGATTTAGATTTTTTTTCAAATTCGACATTTATCAATTAATAGCTTATTTTTTTTTTAAATATTTGTGGGAAGCCAAAAGAGCCATAACATTAAAAGCTCTAGGATATTGGAATAGTTTAACCTTTCCAAGGTGGAATCATTATAATACATATGCGCGCGTCGGTTCTCGTACTCATTAAATGAGAAATAAAAAGTACTGAGACCTTTAAAATATAAAGTATTTGAAATTTTTTGAGTATGAGTCCCATCAGGATGAAAGAACTTACGAGTACCAATTACCGAGTACTTTGAGTACTCGAGTACAATTTTGAGTACAATTTACTCGAGTAGTGTCCAGCGACTGTGACAATGAATGGCCAATTGTTGTATTTGCCGTCACAAATTTTTATTATCTGTAAAAGTAAAACAGAGACATTCACTGTCAAATATAGAAGTTCTGCAAGATCTAATGAGACTAGTGTTTTCATTTTTCCTCAAAAATAAAAAGCTGAATTTGGACATGAGCCTTTTTTGTAAAAGGTCTTCAATTGGATGAAATAAAAATTGGATATTTTATTAGACATATTATTTTCTAGAATGCCATTTTTTATATTTTTAGTTATGCATTTAAACTTTAAATTCACTCATTTAATGGAATAATAATAAATATAGATTTCATATTTTATCTCCTTAACAAACTCCTCTGCAACGTCGGACTGAGCAAACTTGATAGAATGGCTAATATTATACAGGGTGTTCCAGAAAATGTGGACAATTTCTCGGATTCAGATAGAATACATAAAAATATGACAACTTTATGTAAATTTTTTCCGACGACCCCCTTTGAATATACGGGCACGTAACAGACGCTACTGTTGATGTATTGTGGAGGAGGATCCAACAATTTTGAAATTTTTAGAGCCAAAAAAAGCATGAGATAAAAAGGAGCTTATGTTAAACAGACAAAATTATTTAATAAAAATCATATTAGACAAAATATAAATTTATGTTTTTTTTTTTCGAAATCAGTTCAATTTATTGATATCCCTCAAGAGTACGTGTTTTATGATTTAATGTTCAAGATGTCCAAAAATATTATTGCTTAATCATTCAGGGTGCAATAAAATGGATTTTTGTGTTAAAATTGGTCCGTCCCTGTCACTAAATAAACCTAACTAATATTCTTAAAAGAATCTATTTTAAGGAATTAAAAAATCATTAATTACTTTAAAAATAAAAAAAAAATCCCAAGAGCGTTCTCGGTAGGGAAGGGGACGTAGGAAAAAATGGGACAGGCAAAAGTTTTTCGGTTCAACTCATGTAATAATAAAAAAATTATATTTTCAAATTTTATCCAATTAATATCTAAATTGCAATTGTTTTTTCGAAAATTCTAAAAACACATTCTATGGTAACAATTTATGAGATCAATACATTTTGTCGTTCCGATGACCAAACGGGATTAGGAATCATCAAAAATTGAAAGTGAGACAAACGATCAAATATTGTCTTTCTTAGAGGGTATTTTATGATATTTTTAGCACAGATATTGCTACAATAAGCCATGATATATTATTATCATTTAACTGTAAGCATAAAAAAATTAAAAATATCACTCAACAATTATTAAAATCTTTTTTTTTTAGCATTACACCCAAAATTTTTGTAAACAAAAATTACAGATAAAATATCTATAAAAAAAATTAACCAGTACAGGTTCGGAAACTTTTATAACTTATTAAAACATCAAATAACATTATTACCAAGTTTGTACTAAACATTAACTGATTACTAAACACAGCTCTAAACCTAGACAAAAAAAAAACAATAAATATCCACTAGAGGATAAAATTTCATCCAAAATGCTAGAATTCAATTCCTCTTTTAAGTAGAAATAAGTTAAAAAAAATTGAAGTTCATTAGAATTCAAAAGTGTGTACAGTTTATAAAAAATCTTAAAACTACCTAAGAACAACTCACGATGTAAGCTCAATATTCCTTCATTATATTCGAGGCACATTTGGAAAATCTCATCAATCTCATTCACAAGCCAACTTACTGTCAAAACTACTCAAAGCAATTGCGAAAGCTTGTAACGAACATAGAGGATACCTAAAAATAAATTCATTTTTATTGTAAATCAAAGATTTAAAGTAATTTAAAATTGTATTTAAAATTTACCTAAAATCCATTGTAAAAACGTCTTCAGCTACCCTTCCAAACTGCATAACCACATAATCTGTATCACTATCATGTACAATTTGAAAATTCTTTACAGAGGCTTGTGTCACTCTACCATGGAAATTTAGGACATATGATTGTGTTTCATCATTCCACACCGGAGTTTTATTGTGCAACTCAATTATATTATCCATATTTTTTGCCTTCCATGACTCAATCAGACCTTCACTATCATCCTAAAACGTATTTAATAAATAATAGTGATCTTATTTTTCTCTTATCTACCATACCTGAGGATAAATAGTGACTCGTTGTTCATCAACCATTCCAGGAATAATCACAGTCATTTTTCTAGGACCTTTGAAACCTAAGACATTGGTGTCATAGATTACAGATGCCATTTCCTGCCTAGGTACAATCCCTTCTCTCAAGTTCGCTTTACGTGGGGACATGCCATTATCATAAACTGTGAACTGAGTACCAATTAAATTTGACCTCAGTTTACCTAAAAGACAGTTACATTTTATGTTTAAACATCAGAACAAGTAGCTTGTTATAAAAAGTCATAATCTAGAGTTATAATTTTTTTATTACACAGTGTGCCTAGTTAAGTTCGCAGCATATAAAAAACTTTATTATTAAGTTTATGGAAAAAAGTTATTCTTCATAAAACATTAAATGGTCTTAAACCTAAAATACAACCATCAGATATCGATTTTTTTCAGTGGTATAAGAGGTTTGTTAAAAATTATGAATTTTGAACATGAGTAAAGTACCTTTATTTTGGACAATACGGATGCTGCCCTAGCAGATTATGATAGGGGTCTCCCAGTAGCTACTGCTGCAAAAAGGCACAACTTATTCCAAGAATACCCTTCTCATACAAATTTTGTATAAAATAGCTTAGAAATTGTTCAATGGGTTTGAAATCTTACCTATCTAAAGAAGTTGAAACAATTCTAAATAAATACTGAATAATACATATGGCAAAAGCAGGTTTTTTCCATAGGCAGGGAACAATTAATGAATAGTGTGTTCAACAGCTTATCATTGAATCACAAAATCTGAGGAGTGAACCACCAGAAATCGCTACAAATTCTCGAAATTTCCACACGGAAATCTTGAAATCATAACAGAAATTCATGGTTGAAATCATCACTGAAATCACTTCAAAATCAATTTTCCCAGTGAAATATAAACGCAGCATAGCAAGTGGAAAGCCAAAAAAAAAAAAGGTACAAACAAAGTCATGAGTATTCTTACAGAGAGAATTTTGTAGATTATTCACAGTAAATTATATATAAGGATTTCGCCGAAATTACCGAAATCTTATATAATTATGGGAGATTTTGCCGAAATCACCAAAATCGTATAAAAGTAAGAGATTTCGGAGAAATTACCAAAATCATATAGAATCAAGGGTGTTTCTATCGAAATAATAAGATTTTGTGGCGATTTCTGAAATACAGGTATATTTTGACCTTAGTGGTTTATTGTAGGGTAAACCACTAAGGTCAGAAAATACCTGTTTCAGAAATCACCTAAAATTCGTGCGATTTCACCAAAATTCCTCTACATTTTAATCAGCGCTATTTCGTGACAGTCTGTGACATATATGAACATTTTCATTGCAGAATAAAACTAAATTTTGAATGGATTAAAATTGATTTTGATACCTCAAAAATTAAACAAAAAGGTTTATTGCCAACCTTTAGTTAAAAAACAAGTCAACTTTTGGGTAATTGATATTTATGCCTGTCAATTTTAGGATGTTTGGTTTTATGAGATGGTCAACAATTTTTTTTCTCTAAAAATAATTATATACATTTAATGCCTAGATGCATGTGAAATGCTAAATGAAACATTTAGTAATTTATAAAACTTTTAACACAGAATAATTAAGGTTCGAAATATTAGGATATTTGGATGGTTGTATTTTTAGGCTTTAGACCATTCAGAACTTTTTTGTCCATAAATAAATTATTAATAAAAAAGTTATGCTGTCGGTGGCGTAGCGGTCTCACGCCCTCATATTTATTTATATAGGCAAGTTTGTGGTCAGACAGAGGCTTTGAATCCTACACCAGACCATGTGGATTTTTAATTAAATTACATGGTTCACTATAGGAGTTGATGTGTGCCGTATTAATAGAAATTCAATTTCTGTTGATATGACATGCAGGTAATAAAATCGCCATGCGTTACCGTTTTCCGGGTTTTCCTCACCTGTAAGTCAAATGGCACCATCAATCATCTTTAAGTCGCCCCGGAACGCCACGACAAATAATAATAATAATAGCCGTCCGTTTCCCCTACACAAGTCGTTCAGTCAACTTCAGGGGTTGAAATTCACTCATAAGAGGTGAATTAGGGAGAGTATTATTATTAAGTATTTCTTAGTAGGAATTAAAATTATTGCTTGATTAAGAAAAACACACTAATACTAACCAACAAATGATTCAGCATTTCTGGACAAATCAGTTGGATCTGTAGATATCAAATAGTTACTAGTTGTACTCTTCTTTCTTTTCCTAGCAGCTAAGAGAAATACTTTTTTACCATAGTCCTTTTCTAAATGTAGATAATAAGTTGGATAAAGTCCCCTATCCATTCCTTTTCTATCTCTAGTAATCCGGCATTTGTATAGCACCTTAAGCTGGGCAGGTTGCAAGATAAATTTTTCTACATTACCTTCTATGTCTCCCTCTATTTCTGTAGCCTTTAATAACAGATTAAAGTTATGAAGTAACAATGTATTACCAAACCACAAAAATGACAAAACCAGATATAAAATGAAGCAATTTCTCATTCTTTTAAATGAGGAAACAAAGTCAACCCAAAAACTTTGAGAAAAACAATTTACCTACCCCATTAACTTGATGTATAAAATTGGGCTTGTCTGGAATAGGATTGATGGGCATATTTCCATTATCATTGGGAGTAGAGGCCACAGGTGATGATTCTTCATCTTCCACGTCCATTAAATCACTGGTGGTATTAGTTAAGTCTTCAACTAATGTTCCTAGAAAAAGTTATAAACAAAATTAATTGTAACTACTGCATTTTGCAAATATATTGCTATTTTTTTACATGATTATACTAAGTTTTTGTTTGATAAAATACACACTGGACCAATGCCAATGCTTCTATGGTGAACAGGAAAGTCTCAGACTGATTAGAATAAATTATCTTATTCTTATTTTAGAATTAGTTATATTTTTTGAAAGTACTTATTTGCATTTTTTTAATTAATTGAATGCCATTTAATTTTAGGTACTTTATTGCAAAAACTGAGCATTTATTTGTAAAATATTACAACTATGTCACTTTCACCATGTTAAACAACAAGCGACGTACACCTCAAAACAGTTTGTATTGTACTAATATTTGTTCTGAGTATGATCGCTAACTGAGGGAAGCAGTATCCCATCTTTGAAATGGCATAGATAAACAAGTTTCACTCTTTATTTTACTTATCTACAAATAAAATTAAGTGTCTCATCTTTATTTCTTGGGATTTCTAGGTTAATATACTGTTTAACTGTATTTCTTATGACCTGTTACAAAAATATTTATAATGTAACAGGTACGTCAAATACATTATATTCTAAGTTAATTATCCCAGTTTAGAAATCAACATCAAATTTGCAATGATTATTTAAAATTGTAAGGCTTACATGTTTAAATATATTCCACATTTTTGTATGATGGGAAATCATCTTAATGCATTTTCAAAGAATTGTGACTATAACAAATTTGAAACCAAAATATTAGAGCAATATTCTCATGTCCTTCAGGATATTGAATGTTAAAAATCCATCCTTTAGAAATTAAAGTCTTCTACAGTTATTAAATATTTTCAAACCATTTTCAATACGAGGAACTTGCTTACTACTTATCTTGGTAAAATGTATGGCCCTATTTTTGTGTGCGAATATAATTATGTAGGTATTTGATATAATATTGTGTAAGTAACAAATAACACTATACTACTACTAACTTCTAACACAAATTAAACTATTATAACAAACATAAAACTGTTAAGTGTGTACTGAAGAGACAATTAGTATACTTCAAAATAGAACAATTTATGACTTTTTCATTTAGAAGCTATTTTTGTGTTTATGTTGTTAATTTAAATATAAAGGAAGATGTACTGTGGCATATCTTCCTAGTAAGTTTTCACAAATTACATAATTTTAGACTGACTTATGGTTTATGAACATTTTCTTTTAATAATACATACCATCCATGCTATCAGAACTTGGTAAAATTGAAATAACCTGATCAGGATTATTGTCACTACCCATTGCATATTGGAGGGGCCCATCATACCCTAAAAACTCATACAATTAGGAAAAAATCTTGTTATGTTAGTTCATTTTGTTCCTACCATGTAAATCTCTCCTATTTGCACTGGTATTCCTAGTTTTAGCTGAAACACTCCGGACATCAGAAACTTGGATCATGCCTGATGTTAAACGCTTTTGCTTCATCTTCTGCTCCATTATTTGTCTCTAAAAATAAAATTACGTGCTTTTTAAAACGTTTCTCTTAGTATTTTTACATTACCCTTACCTGTTGTTCCAATTTCTGCGTTCGGACGTCCATTTCTAACATTTCGGCAGTTAGTTTTATCAATCATTCACGTTGCACTGCTCCAATTCCATTTGTTGTTGATTATTGTTACTCTTGGAGATAAATTTTATCGATTTGTACAGAAGTTAGTAAAAAAATAAAATTCAATTCTATTTGTTTATGATTGTTGACAATGCTGAAATGACATTTCATAACAAGCATGCAGTGTTGCCACACCACAGACAGAAGCCTTTTGTTTATCATTGATAGCTGTGGAACCTAGACGAAAATATAGTAAAGGGAACTTGATTCAAACATCATGATTTATTTTTAAATATCGATAACGATAAAGTAGGGAAACAAAAAGATCATGTTAAACCAAATCATTATTTCGAATACACCTTCACACGCTGAAAGAGAAAGATGGGGTCTCTGTTATTTAAAAAAAAATACTTGTGGCACTCGGGGACTGCCGCGGTAAAGCTATTGCATAGCATTTTTTATCGACTTATGCAATTATAATTATTTATTTTATTTATGCAGTATTTTTTTCTTTGATATTAATTCAAGTTTTTTCTTTGATATTAATTCAAGTTACACTTTTTGAGCGTGGTGACCGATAAGAAAACAATTTTTTTTCTTTTATTGAATAAATGAGAAGTTAATATTTTTTAAAATATTTTTATTATCTTACACAATACATGTAGGTTATTCAGGAATTTTTATCATTGAAACTATAGGTTTATGGTAACTGAAATAAGAAACGTAAGTTTGAGACTTGATATCCTCTAAATATCTGGAAAATACCGCGTCAATGGTGGTCCCATATTTTGTTGTGGATCATTATTCATTTTCAAATTCAATTTTTCAGAAATCGTGTCTAATAGATATATAATCAGTTATGAGCAGTTACCAGCTAGTCTTCACGCATACGTCTAATCGCACGCACACAAACACTGTGCCGAAATCTGCCGAACTGAAACGACGTTAGACGATGCACGGCTTTCAACGCCGCACCGCTGTGCCGGTCGGAGTGGGGGGGTGTTAGGTTTATTTTCGTTACGGAATTTCTTTTTCGATTTTTCGACCGCTAAACCAAAATTATTTCCTCCAAAATTTTGATTCAAAGGTCTATTTGATTGGACTATTAAATTAATATACCGGGTGTTAAAATTAAAGTGTTACAGTTAAATACCGCCTTTTATAAAAAAAAACGTTTCAGACGAAAGTTTTATTTTTTAGGGTAAACATTTTGGCTAAAATCTTTTTTTATAGCTAACCATAATATGGCCAACTTTTTTGCGCAGCAAAATTTTCAAGTGGTTGTTACTAGATAAGTAAAAGTCCAATAAAAAAAATGTTTCCTTTAAAAGTTCCTTATTTCTTAATGAACTTTAAGAATATGTAAAAAAAATTGGGTTCCCATTTGAAATAAAAAAGGCCACCTCGATATGGCCATATTATGGTCAGCTATAAAAAAATTAATTTTGCCAAAATATTTTCCCCACAAAACTATAAAACTTTTGTCTGAAACTTTTTTTTATAAAATGCATATTTTCGGCGGTATTTAACTGTATCTTTAATTTGAACACCCGGTATAGTTCAGTGGTCTGTATACAAAAGGAGAGTCATAAAAAAATGGAATTATAACTTTTTTCGACGGCTCTTTAAGTTCTGAGGTCCCTTGAATCCGTTTTGACATTTTCGCGATGTCCTGTGTGTATTTGTATCCACGATAACTCAAAAACGGATAAACAGAAAAATACTAAATTTTAAACTTATATAAACTTTAATAATTTTCATTCTCTGACTTGATCAGATTTTTGGGCATAGTCTGAGCATCTGAGGGATACTTTATAGGGGTTCGTTTTTTTACTTTAAGGAATATGTTATTTACGCTTGTAGAAGAAAATTCATCATATAAACGTTGCTTTTGTGATATCTCTATAATTTTTGTTCTATACATGATTTCCCTAAAATGGATCCCAATGGAAAAATTTCTTTTTTTTTGTATTTTCGTTGGCAATGAATATTTATAAAAAAAAAGCTTCGAGTAATGTGTGTGGAAAACGTATGTACCTATTTAAATTCATCCGTTAAACATTTACAGGGTATTATATTGGGGTTGTACAGAATAAGCGGAAAAAGCCTGTATATATAATAACTTTAGGTACGACATGAAAGTCATGCATTGGACACATTAGATTTTTACCGTTCACCGTGGATTTTTATGAAGTTATGACATTGACATTTCATGCCAATGGGCTATTGTGTAGATAATGGTGTGTGGGGGTTTTCCTCAGTTTATCAAATATATTGATCTAATCAAAAAGTGTTTAATAGGTATGAACTAATATAAAAATTTATCCACAATTTTTTCATATCTTATTACCAACAGAAATTTTAAAAAATTAAAATTTTGCACTTACATCTCTTTAAATTTCAACATTACAGTGTGTTTTAAAAAAATCATGTCTAGGTCTCATATTAAAGAGAATTACACCATAAATAACTTCAAATAATAGAAATATACCTTAAATTATCCCCTTTATGACCAAAATATAAATGGTCTATCCCATGATGATTTAAGAAATAAATTTAAAATGTATTTTTCTTCCTCAATTTTTGAGTTATTGTGAATACAAACAGACAAACATCACAAAAATGGTCAAAACTGATTCAGAGAACATCAAAACGTAAAAATCCGTCGAAAACTTGAGGTAAAAAAAAATAACTGGATACAGCAAAATAAAAATGAGTGCCAATTACATATTTATTTATGTAAAAATAATCATATTCAAATAAAAATGATTACTTAGTGATTTCTGCTATTTTTATAAGTACATCTTAAATCTGATAAAATAACTAATGGATTGGATAAGAGCACTTATGAAATGCACATTTCATGTTTACTTTGTATTTCTCATATTTAAAAATACTCATTATTAAATAAATAATTCAAATTAAACAGAGTACTCAGTTTTTGTTTACATTTGAATTTTGACTTGATATTGGGATACTCGAAACCAATTATTTGAAAACAACACATTTTTTAAATAGGTACTTATATTTTAATTTGTCTAAAACTTATATACAGCTATATTCTGAATTTCATTTAACAACTTACTTTATTTACATTATAATTGCAATAATTTAAATCTTATGAGTAGAAAAATAGAAAAATTTGTATTTGAACTTTTAATGAGTACAAGACTGATCAAATTAATCTTAATTAAAAGTGAATAGGTATAACATAAACTTTTAAATTGTTCCTTTAATAAAAAACATCAAAAGTTCAAGGACAGTTTAGTTAGAGTTAAAATAAAATTACACATAGATTACAAAAACTCTTCACACCAATCATTAAGACATTGCCAACAATCTGCTGATTGCTTTGAATTTGCAGAGCAAGTGTCCTTCATCCATTCTTTGAAAAGCTCCTGGTTCTTCTTTAGCACTAAAAATTGTCCTAAGACAACATAAGCCTGGAAAATAAACATTTTATTATATTTTGTAAGGTCTCAGTATTGTGTTGATAAATTTCATGGGTAGTTTGTTCCAAATTAGTAAAGCACATTTCATAATGTAAAAAGATATATTTATAAAATTGGAGAGAAACTTATGAATAAGCAGATGCATCTAAGGACAGATCTTAGCTGGATAAAGCATCTGTTTCATTGAGAAAAGTTTGAGTAGGAAATTATGTGAATATATTTTGCAAATACCATTAATAAAATTTTGATTTTCCCTATACTTAATAATAATTAAAATACAATTCTGTGAGAGAATAAGCAAGGTCACAATGTCAAATGTTGGCAGTTTGAACTTAAATAAAGAAAACTATATCATTTAACATTCTTTACATTAAAACATGACTAATATAAGTTTCTATGAAAATGTATTTCTGACTATAATTGGAGAAAATTAAAATACTGTAAAGTTCTCAATTTTAAATACAGCAAATCCACTAATAAAAAAATATAAATTTGTCATTATAACAATCATTATAACTTAATTAGGGAGGTTTAATATTATTATATTATGAAAATTTATACAATATTATTAAATATGATTGACTTCCAGTTTGAGAAAGTGTATTAATATAAGAATTTCATATGATCTAAAAATACATTTTTAAATGAATCATCTTACTTTGTCAAAACCGGCTGTGACCAAACGTTCTCCAAGTACTCCTCCAACCCCGGCTAGTTCGGTTACAGGTTTTTCTCCCATGGGTTCTGCAACGAAATTACGATGTTTTTGAGAAGTGCTCGACATTTTTAAAATTAGCTGCTCGTTTGATTTAAGTGGTTAAATAATAAAATATAAAATTGCTTCTTAGATAAAAACGATCACAAACAAAAAAACGAGGAACCAAAAACCTCAGAAACAGAATCAATCACTTTTAAAATGCTGTCATGACAATTGACATTGACACAACTGACAGTTAATTTATGAAAGGTTTTCATGATGATGATAAGTAAAAATAGCGACACATCATGTGACGTCAAACATAGCCAATAAAAATTATAAAAAATATTAAGATAAATGCCTTATGAAATTGATTATTTATATAATTCTTGCTATTATTCTTTTTATTGATCTTCTAATCTTAACTCGTTTCAATGCAAAAACGTAGCGATATTTATTTATAATATCCACCTTATATGCAACGATACCTTTATTTTGAAGTTGTTAGTTTTTGGGCAATTTTTTACGTGAACCGTGGACATGTAAATTAGATTCGATTTTTCCAAAGGGATACATTTTTTTTTTTTTATAAAAATGAAGAAAATAATCAAACCAACTGTGGTATATTTTGAATATTTTTGGAATACCCATTTTACATCATAAAATTGTATGTGATTATTTTAATTGCTTATTAAAAACTTTAATACAATTTTTTTGTATAAAATTTTTTTTTTTTATTAGGATTAGAAAGGGCTAGGAGACAAGACGAGGAGTCACCGGATGCAGGGGACATATGAGGGAATAGGATAGGGCACAGATACTGGATCCGCACTTTGTAATCTTAGACACATCCAGTTTTCAATTCAATTTAAAAATAAAAAATTGGGTATTTGGTACCTGATAAAATGCAATTTTATTAAAATTAATATGAAGCAAATTTTATACTAATAAAAATTAACGTATGACAATATTTGAAAACTTTCACCAAATCACCAATAGTTTTGGAAAACTGGGTGGGTAAGCGACAGCGACAACAAAAAGATCTACGGTTGTTCAATGGATTGCTTACTCGATTTCCGACATGACACAAGAGAAAGATAGAGATATACAACATCTGTGAAAGCGACAAAGACAATCTTTTTGCCAGATGTTAAGGTTGAGGTTTAATAAAAGTTGAAGTTTGGTGTGAGAATTTCCTTCACGAAATAAATGTTCATTATTTGATAAAAAATAATTTTAGAATTCATATTTCTTATAAAACTAACGCTTAAATGTGCATTCGTGATTTCTGAATTGAATTAATAGTTGTGTAGCTGATTTATAAGTTAAAATGGCGATTTGAAGAGCAATGGTGGACATATGAAATTTTTCTACATTTGGATCCGTCATGATGGAAGACAATTCTCTAAATATGCAAAACGGAGGACAAATGGGTCCCCAGGGTGGCTCGGTTAGTAACAACAAACAAAATGAAGAGGTCAATCCCAAGTCCCATTATTCCATACCGGGCATCTTACATTTTATTCAACACGAATGGGCTAGGTTCGAATTGGAAAGATCGCAATGGGAGGTTGATAGAGCTGAATTACAAGTAAGTTTTTTTCTATAGATCTTCACTAGTCTCATACTTTTATAATTTTATTGATCTATTTAAGTATATATTTTTTATTTTCCATTGAGAACTTGTATGGTATTTGTTGATGATTTATGTTCTTATCCTAGGAGTTAATTAACACCTGAAAAAGTTTGTTATTGATAATTTTTCAATTCTTCAACATTTACACAAATCATATTTTGTTAATAATAAATAATTCAACATTGGCCAAAGCAGCATCAGTTTTCGATTTGAGAAATAAAGTTATTTATCTACTCTAAATGGTTCCTACTTTCCTTTTTGCTTTATACCTATATTATTCCATAATACGAATTTAAAAAACAAAATTAATTGTAATCCAGGAATATTTTAATTTTGGGAATACTTTTTGTTCCTTATTTACCTATATTTTAATTTTTATTTTGTTTTTCTAGATGAAAATGGCTTTGAAATCATAAAGGTATCAGTCTAAATTGATGTTTTAACATAGTCTGCTTTAAAATATGAAAATTTATAAACAACCCAGTTTTGTCTTTAAAAGGGTTTATTTACATTGATTTCCTTAGAAAATCATCATTAAACTAAAAAAATCCAATATAATTTTAAGTACCTAGTTACTTTTTTATTACCCATATCATTTTTTATCTATCCTACTAAAAAATGCTTGGTTATCATTCACATAAACAAACTTAACTTACTTAATTTAAATTTGCAGAATCTTCAGCTTATTTCCATTACTATGTTCACAAACTTATTCTTTGTAAAATGGCAAATTTAGTATCAAAAATCATCTACAGCTAGACCATTAACAATACATATGGTACATTAACTTTCCAATACTTGCTTCAGGAGATTGTTATAGAAAAACAATGCTATTGACGAGGCTGTTGATTAGACATAAATAGAATAATACGTTGCTGACTGCAGACCACAATATCCCCTGCTTGCCATTGAAATGGCGTAGTTAAATCAAGTTGCTCTCTTTATATCTCTCACATCCAAATATAATTAAGTCTTTCATCTTTATTTTGTTTGTTAATGTACTGCATATTTAGATAAAATATTGGAAATGTGACAGATAGATAAGTTACTTACCTATATTATAAATAAATAAAAAACAAATTGAAAGTTAAATTCTTGAATGAACACAACAAATTAAAAGAATGTATGCATAAGTTTGTAAATAATGTGATGCTTACAATCTCCAAAATTAACACCATAAAAATAATCATATTATTTCTGAAAAATTCTAAATATTTCTGAGCATTAGTTGTTATATGTTTAAAAGGTCCATACTTAACTGTGATGATACCACTCTAGAATCACAGAGTGTTGAAGTAGGGTCATGGCACTACTTATGGCCACATTAAGGCAAAAATGCTTTTGTGAGGTCTATTTTTCAATAATATTGTAACAGAAAAAAATAAATAAAAATACTATTTGATAGGTTGAAGTATGTAGTTTTCAACAGTATATGTATCTATTTGGTTAAGAGCATGTGCCTTTTTACATTTTTTTTATGAAGGTGGAAGAAATGCTTTACTTTTTGGCCATCAGTCTGCCACTAGCTATTTACTTACGGCCACTAATTTTTAAGTTGCATTTTTAAATATTAATTTAAGTGCACATTTTAATTTACATGTATGTACTTACTAAAGATTTCGAATAAGTATGGTACAAAAAATTTTGGTAAAATATGAAATATATTTTTTATGAACATTCACACTTTCTGAAAATGTTATAACCAATTTTCAACCTTGTTCTACCAAAGAATGTTCGGTTAACACTCCTCAAGTATCAGATATGAGAACAGTGAAACTCATTTTTAATATAGGTACTGCCCTCCTAAGCCAAAATGCGGTATCTCAAAAACAAAACGAATTTTTTAATGGATCGGAAATCTTGATAAATACTGCATCAGTTAAACTAACAAAAATAGCAAAATCTCAATCAGAACATTAAAAAAAACCTAAGACAAATTTACATAGGTACTTACTTCACTTATTTACTAAAAGGCTTAGGCATATGTGCCATTATTACTAAGCTAAATGACTGCATCCATTTATGACTCAAGAATTTCAAAATTAATATTCAAAATCAAGAAAATAATAATTTAAAATAATCTAGCGGTACCTAAATAATTTTTTTTTTCGATTCGAGTGAACATGAAGACAACTTTTAGAAAATGCATATTTTCTCGAACTCTCTTCAACTGAGATACCGCTTTTTGGCTTAGAAGGGCAGTATATTCAAAAGTAGTTTTTTCTTTGTTTGAGCTTTTTAAGCGCTGGATTTCTATTTCATTTTCCATAGTTTGATGCACAGTTGCAACATATTTATACATGGTCGATCTTCTTTTACCACAGGCACTAAATTGTACCAATATAAAATCGCCAGGTTTTAATGTTTTGCATACATAATCACTGCTGATTCTATATATGAGAATCTGCCAGTGCTGTCAGATGTCAGTGACATTTCATCTTATTTATTAGTTACAAAACTCAATTGCTATCTACCCCTCATGAAACTGAAGCTAGCCCTTAAAATTAACAGCTAATATGGCCGGCCGCCAGGGACGAACTACGTTAGGGGTCCCGTCAGGGCCTCACCAATTTTTTTTTACTATTTAGAAGTCGTGTGGATAAAAGAATCAGAAAATTGAAAAATTATGAAAAATTCTGCGGAAAGAAAATAAGAAAATTTAAAGTTTTAAAAATTCTGTAAATTCGCATGTAATTCGCGAACTTGGTCAGCGACATGGTGAAAAAATTTCTTAGCCTCTGTAGAATACTCCTTTTAAAAATGAAGCTCTAAAAATTTTGCGGAAAGAAAATACGAAAATTTAAAGTTTCGAAAATTTTCTAACTTCGCAAATAATTCGCGAACTTGGTCAGAGACATGGTGAAAAAATTTATTAGTCTCTATAAGCATCTCATTCACAGGATCAAGCTTTAAAAATTTTGCGGAAAGAAAATACGAAAATTTAAAGTTTCGAAAATTTTCTAACTTCGCAAATAATTCGCGAACTTGGTCAGAGACATGGTGAAAAAATTTATTAGTCTCTATAAGCATCTCATTCACAGGATCAAGCTTTAAAAATTTTGCGGAAAGAAAATACGAAAATTTAAAGTTTCCAAAATTTTCTAACTTCGCAAATAATTCGCGAACTTGGTCAGCGACATGGTGAAAAAATTTCTTAGCCTCTGTAGAATACTCCTTTTAAAAATGAAGCTCTAAAAATTTTGCGGAAAGAAAATACGAAAATTTAAAGTTTCGAAAATTTTCTAACTTCGCAAATAATTTGCGAACTTGGTCAGAGACATGGTGAAAAAATTTATTAGTCTCTATAAGCATCTCATTCACAGGATCAAGCTTTAAAAATTTTGCGGAAAGAAAATACGAAAATTTAAAGTTTCGAAAATTTTCTAACTTCGCAAATAATTCGCGAACTTGGTCAGAGACATGGTGAAAAAATTTATTAGTCTCTATAAGCATCTCATTCACAAGATCAAGCTTTAAAAATTTTGCGGAAAGAAAATACGAAAATTTAAAGTTTCCAAAATTTTCTAACTTCGCAAATAATTCGCGAACTTGGTCAGCGACATGGTGAAAAAATTTCTTAGCCTCTGTAGAATACTCCTTTTAAAAATGAAGCTCTAAAAATTTTGCGGAAAGAAAATACGAAAATTTAAAGTTTCGAAAATTTTCTAACTTCGCAAATAATTTGCGAACTTGGTCAGAGACATGGTGAAAAAATTTATTAGTCTCTATAAGCATCTCATTCACAGGATCAAGCTTTAAAAATTTTGCGGAAAGAAAATACGAAAATTTAAAGTTTCCAAAATTTTCTAACTTCGCAAATAATTCGCGAACTTGGTCAGCGACATGGTGAAAAAATTTCTTAGCCTCTGTAGAATACTCCTTTTAAAAATGAAGCTCTAAAAATTTTGCGGAAAGAAAATACGAAAATTTAAAGTTTCGAAAATTTTCTAACTTCGCAAATAATTCGCGAACTTGGTCAGAGACATGGTGAAAAAATTTATTAGTCTCTATAAGCATCTCATTCACAGGATCAAGCTTTAAAAATTTTGCGGAAAGAAAATACGAAAATTTAAAGTTTCGAAAATTTTCAAACTTCGCAAATAATTCGCGAACTTGGTCAGAGACATGGTGAAAAAATTTATTAGTCTCTATAAGCATCTCATTCACAGGATCAAGCTTTAAAAATTTTGCGGAAAGAAAATACGAAAATTTAAAGTTTCCAAAATTTTCTAACTTCGCAAATAATTCGCGAACTTGGTCAGCGACATGGGGAAAAAATTTCTTAGCCTCTGTAGAATACTCCTTTTAAAAATGAAGCTCTAAAAATTTTGCGGAAAGAAAATACGAAAATTTAAAGTTTCGAAAATTTTCTAACTTCGCAAATAATTCGCGAACTTGGTCAGAGACATGGTGAAAAAATTTATCAGTCTCTGTAAGCATCTCATTCACAGGATCAAGCTTTAAAAATTTTGCGGAAAGAAAATACGAAAATTTAAAGTTTCGAAAATTTTCTAACTTCGCAAATAATTCGCGAACTTGGTCAGAGACATGGTGAAAAAATTTATTAGTCTCTATAAGCATCTCATTCACAGGATCAAGCTTTAAAAATTTTGCGGAAAGAAAATACGAAAATTTAAAGTTTCGAAACTTTTCAAACTTCGCAAATAATTCGCGAACTTGGTCAGAGACATGGTGAAAAAATTTATTAGTCTCTATAAGCATCTCATTCACAGGATCAAGCTTTAAAAATTTTGCGGAAAGAAAATACGAAAATTTAAAGTTTCGAAAATTTTCTAACTTCGCAAATAATTCGCGAACTTGGTCAGAGACATGGTGAAAAAATTTATTAGCCTCTGTAGAATACTCCTTTTAAAAATGAAGCTCTAAAAATTTTGCGGAAAGAAAATACGAAAATTTAAAGTTTCGAAAATTTTCTAACTTCGCAAATAATTCGC